CCTTTGGATAGGGCCTAGGCCAACCCCCTTGTGTCTAGGCTCAGGGAGTATCCCTCCATGTGGGACGGGCTCCCAGAGTCCATTCCTATGCTAGGGATAAGTACTGATCCACTACAAGGAGCCCCATAGATTTCCAAGGTCTCCTCACTGACACCCACATTCAGGGGGTCTGATCAGTCCCATGCTGGTTTCCCAGGTATTAGTCTGGGGACCAAGAGCTCTCCCTTGTTCAGGTCAGCTGTTTCTGTGGGTTTCACCAGCCTGGTTTGGACCCCTTTGCTCATCAGTCCTCCTTCTCTGCAACTGGATTTCAGTTCAGTTCAAGGTTTAGCTGTGGGTGTCTGCTTCTACTTCCACCAGCTGCTGGATGAAGGCCATACGAAGGCATATGAATTAGTCATCCATCTCATTATCAGGGGAGGGCATTTAAGGTAGCCTCTCCTCTGTTGCTTAGATTGTTAGTTGGTGTGTTGGCCTGGTACCCCTGGTGCATTAGGTAAGAACATCTACTACACTTAGGTCTGACATGCTTCCTGTTTTTGTTCTAGCCTGTCTTTGTTTTAGACTTTATTCTTGTCTACCTCTCCGGCCATTAAGAGAATGGGGAACTTACCCTCCCACTGTAAGCAGCCTCAGGTGAGGGCATTAAAATCAGTATTGGTTACCAGGGGCCTTAAGGTTAAGGCCCCTGGTATAAGGCCCCTGGTAACCAATCTGGAGGAATTTTGGGATGAGGTTATAGTGGTGGCCCCCTGGATTTCTCCGGAAAACATGTGGGTATTTGACCTCTGGGTGTCTGTGCTTTCTTGCCAGAAAGCATGAGGTCAGCTCAGGTGCTTCCTTTGTCCCCATCCTACTAGAACCCTCAGGGTCAAGCTATCAATGAAAGACACCCTTGTACATACCAAAACTCACTCCCAGTGCCTGAGTGGTTGGTGCTTTTCACCCCCTCACGCAAGGGGTTTGTTTCTAAGTAGGGTAGCCTGAAACAGTGCTCCAAAGTTTTCGCCCAATACAGACTTCATAGCTTCTTTTTCTACTTTTTAAATGTTTTTATTAACGTTTTGTTTAAATCAGAGGACAATTTGCTATAGTAGGTTATCATCTTCCACATGTGGGCCCCAGGAATCAAACTCAGATGTTCAGGCTTTGCCTGCTGAGCCATCCTGCTGGCCCCTTGTATGTTTTGCACTTTAACTTCTATTGAGGGTTTCCTACCCGAGTAGCATATTTACACACTTTCCATTCCTCTCCCGCTCCAATGCCTGCCTCCAATCCCTCTCAAATGCATAATCTCTTCTTCAATTATTATTGGTACCTATACTTTAATCATGGCTCTTTCCAAATTTTTTTAAATTTTAATAAGATGCAATTACTAGATTTTTTAGTATGTGATATTCTTTTGATATATTATCTATGAATTATATTTTTATTTTAAAGGTCTATGTTTATAAAATATTTATATTTTAAAGGTCTAGGTTCAGGACATACTCTCCTGTGTTCTTTTTCTCTAAAAGTTTTACGTTTTTCTAGTAAGTTCAAGGTTGTCTTTTTAACCTATGGATGCTTTAATTTATCTTTTGAAAGTTTCCTTTTTATTTTTAATTGCTTTTGTATCTTTTTGAAGAGTGACTTGTGCTTATCTGGGTGGCCTATTTCAGGGTTCTCCTTAAGTTTTCATTAGTGTTTGTTTCCATCCCTCCTACTTGCACTACGCTGATTAATGTAGCTCTGTAACAGGCCTCCACATAGGAACAGAGATTCTTCCCACTGTGTTCTCCTTCCTTTTCCAGATTGCCTTAGCTGTGGCCAAACCTGTGCCTTTCTAAATTGTCTTTGGAGTAAGACTATCTGTGTCATTTTTTTTTCTTTAATTAGGGAGAGAAGAAAATGATGGGGAGCAGAGACGAGAAAGAAAAGAAAGACAGGGCAGGAAGAGGGGGAGGGGAGATGTAAGGAAAAGGAAGGGAAGGAAGCTTCTGGTGACTTTGACAAGATCCCTGTCAAATTTACAGGGCCTTTGTTTTTCAATACCAAAGGTCTATAAAATGCCATCCCCCAAGAACAGACCTATTTTCTGAGGTCCTCTTGGATTATTTTCATCAATATACTGTAGATTTCAGCATGCTTAACAGTTGAATTTCACAGGAAGGACATTTTTCATTTGTTTCCACATGGTCTGTTATTTTACAGAAGTAAGGATGTATTTTTGTGTGCTGGCCTTAAAGCTTGCCACCCTGCTGAATATACTGTTTTCAACTTGTATAGATTTTTTTTGGATTTCCTACATTCCCTAGCATCCCATCTGCAAATAAGGACATTTACTGTCTCCTTTCCCAATCTGTGCAACTTTGTCTTTGTTCTGTTTAAGAAACTAGAGCTGTTAGGTAAGTTAAGAGTGGTAAAAACAACATTCTTGTTTTCAGACAGGAGGCATCCATTTAACTCTGTGACACATGATGTTCTATAGGGTTCTCTAGGTATTTTTAACTACATGAGGCTCCTTATCACCAAGCCAGCAGGCTTACAATTATCAAGAGTGGGTACTGACTTAGTCGAATGCTTTCTGACACCCAATAAAATGATTGTATGATTTTTTTTTTCTGGTAAACTGATAGGACAGATCATTCTAGAATGAAACTTAAATCCTTTTGGTGACCATACTGGGATATGACTTAGAACTTTACTTATTATTGACAGCAATTGGTAAATGTTTCCTCAAGATTTTCCTGTCTAGTTTTCTTTTGTTGTAACTGTCCTCCCTCTGGTGATGGTACAATGATAATCCAGGCCTTATAAAATGAGGGTAAGTGTTCCACCCTAACTATTTTCCGACAATTACTGTATAAAACTAAGGTCAAATCCTCTTTAAAGGCCCAAGGAATGAATCTATACCTGGATATTTCCTTTACAAATGTTCTAAATTACGAGTGCAACTTCTCTGTTGTTTTTGTTTTACTTTTCATTATTCTACTGGACATTTTCCTTGACACCAACAAAGCAGCCCCAAACGCCACAGACCTTGTTTAATTAACTACACATCTTGCTTCACCCTACTCAAGTCAGTGAAGCTGATTTCATAAGTAGTAGCAGCACTCAAACATTCAGTATAGCAAATGTACTGTCGGGCCACTAGTACATGGAAAATACATCAACAGTAAAGTGAATTCACTTCACTCCTTACTTAAATTTTTGTATGGACCAAGCCTTAAAGCTGTTTTATTTTTTTTATTGTTCTTTCTGTCATTGTTGTTTATATGCATGCACTAGGAGTCAAGCTAAACAAAGCCTTGTACATAAGTGCCACATCCCCAGTCCCAAGTACAATATTTAACAAAAGGCATGAAGCTCTTCCATATTTCAAGTGTGGCATAAAAATATTATAGTTAATCTAATCTGACTTCAAAACTATCAGCTCTACTAATTACAGCTTAAAATTCCCTACAATGCCTACACTCTGTACAGTCACTAACATTTTTAGCTATTTCATAACTGCTCCTTTCCCTTCCCTTCTAAATTTAATATATAATATTTAAATTACAACAAAAGGTTCTTGGCATAGAGGAGGCCATGGGTTCACTGTCAAGCACCATGCAGCTGTATAATCAGCACAGCAGACATCTGGCCTATGACAGGAAGGAAACAAGAGTCTGTATGCTTACAGTCTTGCATAAGTATACAAAGATACCAGGATGGTCATACGCTGAAACTCTGTAACAGCGTAAGTAAGTAAAATCCATAAATAAAGCAGAAATTTTCCAGAAGTTGAATGGATACAGGCTAGTAATTTCTAGAATTTATACAATGAAACACTGTAGATGTTTGTTTTAGTATCCTGTGCATGCAGTGAAATCAGACCACATTGCCTGTATACAGAATAAAGTAACGAGAAGTTCATTTCTATGGGAAGAAGTACCTAGGCAGCCAAGATGTCAGCCAGTGCCACAGACTGCAGACAGCTCTGGAGGAAGGCAAATGGGAATCTGCCCTAGAGACTTTTAAAAGTCAACAAGGAATTTCCCAAGAATATAGATGGCAGAATAATACCTTCCAGAGAAGACACATTCACAGCACTAACATTACATACCCCAGTGGTGTGCATAGCGCCCATACATCACAGAATGAGGCAGAGATAGCACACCAGGAAAATGTCTTACAGAGAGAGACATACGCAGTGTACACAGGCCCTTACATGTCACAGACAAGGCAGGGACAGCAAGCACTCCAGGAGAAAGCCAGCACCCTGCTTATCCATCCACTCTCCATGCCTGACTTGTTTTTTTAGAACATGGCTTCTTTTATCATGGCCTAAACTACTTTTTTAGTGCTCTTTAGCTTTCATTCACTTTCTCTTTTTAAAATTTTAAACCATAAGAATTAGAGCCAATAATTATATATAATATAGCCATCTGAACAAGTAAATTCTGAAAACTGATATAGAATTAACATTTTGAACATAATTCTCAGGTCAAATGAGATACATTAAGCAATTAACACAGGTCTTACATTAAAAAATAGGGCTTTATCTAAAGACATTGAAATATACCTTAGCAAAACAGAGAATGTAAATATTTAAATTTAGTTAAAATACATCAAATCTTATAAACACACGTTAAGAATTAAAACATCTAGTTCAACAACTCCTCCGAAATAGAAGTTACTTGCAATTAAGCTAATATTAATGACTGATGTACATACAGATCTAAAATATATTAAAAATGCATCAACCTTTTCCACTATGATGAGGTCTCCAACTTGTATGTCTGAGCTCTTAACTTGCACTTTACCTTAAAAGAAAGAAGAAGTACAATCAACTCAGGGAAACAAAGAACACCAAGAGTAACTTTTGATAAGTAACACTTTAACATAGTTCTAGGGCCAAAAACAAATCAAAATTTTAAAAAATTAAAACCAGAAATTTGTCTCTCTTCATATTCAAGTTATACTTTAGATACACAGTCACACACAATCTTGTTACTAAACTACTCAACACAATTAAGTAGCCCTAATAATAGCAAAAACAACAGATCAAGGGTTTCCTCTTGAAAACTGGGGTAAGTATCACATGTGGAAGGTTCTTCACACAGTCTGTCAGTGTTTCAGTTCTCAGTGAAGTTAGCAATGGTCACGAGCATTACTAAAAAAATAATTTGGTGACTGAAACTGAATATTATGGAGATGTACAAACCCTTAATCCCACAAATTACACTGGTTGGCACAAAACACACAGAGAATAGAACGAAAATTATATATATATATATATATGTATATATATATATATATATATATATAATCATCATTCACTAGTATCTTTGCCAATATAGCACAGAACTGAAAACTGACAATTTCACTACTAAAAGTATCCGCTTTGGATAATTTTTCTATGTACATATTTGAGTAAATTCTTAATATCTGTCTACCTAATATGGAATAGCTACTGATAAAGATGAATATGTATTATACTTGAGTAACTACAAAATATTATGTACAATGTGATGATAAGCAGATTATCAGAAAACTCAGGCAAATCATTCCCTCCTCCTGTCTCAGCCTTCCTCTGCCTTTTAGGGCAGCCAACCACCCAATGGGTCCGTTTTCATAGCCACAGCTCTATCACACCAATAGGTTTGTTTGCAGCTTTTACACTCATTTTATTCTAACTGCCAGCAGAGTTGGGGCTTTACCAAAAACTAACATACCCAGATTTATTACTGAATTTTACTCCTATCAAATTCTTATTAAGACTTATTTCCTAAATACCTCCAAAGAAGCCAAGTCTGACACCACTATTTCTGGAGTTGCTTTGTTTAGCACATGGGACATCTTTACTATTAGATTTTCCTGTGTTCTTCAATGAGGCAAACCAAGAAAGGCTACAACCACTTTTTATTCATCAGACAGCAATGCTCTTTTAGAATTATATGTAAAACAAATCTTACCATAGCTTCCCAGTCAGTGAGTGTAAGTCTAAACACTGGCAGAAAACACTTACAAAATAATTAGTCCTTTAATCACTGCAAACATGGTCACGCTAATCTTCCAGCCAGTTGTTCTCACAGCTAAGTATGAAATAGTAAGGGTTGCCACGGACTTTTTGGCCTCTCTCCACGGAATCCCTATGCTGTCTTTCAATTCACTTTCTCTCCTGGCCAGCCAATTCACTTTGCCTTCCTTCTGCCTTTTTACATTTTAAATAATACACACATTTAAAAAGACAGGAAAAGAAAAGAAAAACCTGTAGTTAAATGATGTAATATAGTACAATGTTTAAAATAATTTTAAAACATAGAAGGCACATCCCTTTTTTTTTAATTCTTTTATAGAACCCTTAAGCCCACAAAAGGTTGGCTACATCACTGTATGGTAACAGACATAACATGTATGCAATGGCCTTTAGTATTCAGACATGCTATAGTGACTGCTTTTCATTTCTATGGAATCAGTGATTACATGTTTAAGGGAAAAGTTTATGGTGAATAGTGTCAAGAGCTCTGAGACATTAATAATTCTATGCTATGAACAAAATATTACAAGGCTAAGCTGGTCATAGTGGTGTATGTCCATTGCCTCCACCACCACTCAGAAGGCTGAGGGGGGGAGGACCACTTGACCACAGGAGTTTGAGGTAATTGTGGGGTATATAGAAAGACTATCCTTTAAAAAGCAAACTATAGAAGGCTAAACATTAAACCATATAGCATTTGCCTAAAATCTGCCTAGTTAAAAGTTCACATTTTTATATTTTGAAGATTTGGTCACATTGTTTTCATTTCCTGGACAGTTTAACCTTACACTCATGAGGCTGCTTTTTTATTTGGTAACTTTGTCCCTATAGAACAGGAAGTTTCCTTCCATTGTCTGGCGGGGAACCCTCTGGGCACTAGAGGAGCCACCTGCTCTACAGTCACCATATGACAGGTCACTGTGCTGCCAAGGTACAACGGCTGAGCGGCCCTGCCAGAGAAAAGCATCCACGTGGCTTATCCCAGAACTGAGCCTTCCTCTAGGCAAAGACCAAGGAAACTCCTTACACACATGCCCGGTCTCTCAGTTCCAGGGACACTCTTCATTTTAACCTGTATATGCAGAACATAACTCAAAATAGACTCCACTGTAATTTCTCTGCTTCAGTCTGAATTCCCAAGAACTGAAAACCTAGACATTAGGCTTATCTCGCCCTCAAACTTCCACTATTTGACATAACTTAGAAAATAATTAAGATTTGTATAATAATATACAAGTTCTTTATAACTGACCTCAAATCAGTTTTTTGCCTTTTCTCAATGTCTATTCCTGTTTTCACTGCTCTGTGCCCACCTAGTACCTCAACTCTACACCTACATAGTGCTCTTTGCTTACTCTCACCCTGCACTTGTCCCATTAACAAAACAGCTCTATCCCAGAACCCTTGATCACACAGCAAACATAATTCTGTAAATTTACAGTGACTCAAATCAACACCAGGCATATTTTTTACACATTGTTCGGGCAGGTTTTATGTTAACTTGACGAAAGCTAGAGACTGAAGAGAGGAGGGAGCCTCAGCTGAGGAAATTCCTCCATGAGACCCAGTTGTATGGCATTTCTTAATTAGAGATTGATGGGGGAGGGAGGGCCCAGCCCATGGTGGGTGGTGAAATCCCTAGACTGGTGATCCTGGTTCTATAAGAAAGCAGGCTGAGAAAGCCATGAGGAGCAAGTCAGTAAGCAGCACCCCTCCATGGCTCTGCATCAGCTCCGTCCTCCAGGGTCGGAGCTGTTTGAGTTCCTGTCCTGATCTCCTTCAGTGACGGACAGCAATGTGGAAGTGTAAGCCAAATAAACCCTTTCCTCCCTAACTTGCTTTTTGGTCATGGTATTTCATTTCAGTAACAGCAATCCCACCTAATATAAACACCTTTAATGCTTATATGTTTAACTTTAAATGCTATATTCAGTAGCTGAATAGCTTTAAACTTCAGAATGAGTGATGTGCTGTGACATGCATACCTATCTGGAAAAAAATATTTTCAGTTGTAATAATGTATCTTTTACAGCTCAGAAGCATCTCTTACATACAAGCCTGAAAATTAAAAGAGGAAGACTTCTGGCCCCATGTGGTGGCCTGTGTCTGTAATTCTAACACTTGGAGGCAAAGACAGGCTTATCTTTGTGAGTTCAAGGCCACTCTTGCCTGCACAGCAAGTTTCAGACCAAATAGGACTGCATAATAAAACTCTATTGCAAAACAAACAAAAAAGATGAAGATTTATGTTTTCAGTACCTCTTATTTCTGACTGTGAGATGCCATATTCTCCCTTGGCTAGTTGATTGTAACTGGGTTAGAAATTGTTATTTCTGGAAGTCAAATAATACTGGTCTCCCTACTAGCTTCGCTTTAGACAAGACCTCTAGAACAAGGCTAGGACACAAGGAGCTACCTAGGTCACTTTTCTGGAGCTTCAAGACTGCTTTTGTTAAACCACTTTACGTGGTCCTACACAGGTGTCTGATGAGTACCTTTTAATATCAGAGGACCCAAAACACCACCCATAGACCATACCAACACCACCAATTTCTGAAAGTGCACTTTCAGTATCCTCATCCTTTACTGCATGAATAGAAGTGTTTGTGCAATACTTAGTTGTCCAGTTTGCATAAGGGAAATCTCTCTTCCTGTACAGGCTTCAGTGGAATAGCATCTGAGAACCATGGATGACGGCAACAACTAGTAACTCAGTCACAGACAGGAGAAAGAGAGCCAAGTAGCAGCCACATTTATGGTTAACTCCTGTGCAAGGTGGGCAGCTTATTAGAGAGTGAGTGAGGCAAAGAGCCAGCTCAAAATTCGTTCCAAAAGACAACTAATATTCTACTTGGACAGCTTGTGCTTCCAAACAAAGTGTTTTCAGAACATTAGCATATTTAAAGTAAGAAGAGGCATTCCTTTACAAAAGCAGTAACAGACCATTTCCCCAGCTCCCTTCCATCAAATGTGCTTGTGAACTGCAGTAATATATTACAACCATGGCAAAGCACAAAAGGAAGCCACCGCCACTGCCATTCCAACAGGTCTCCTCTGTAGCTCACAAAAGCACTCTGAGTGATGGTGACAACACTAGGAATGGTGTCAAAGCAGAGATTGTTTGCATTTCCACGTGTAAAACTCTCACGTCTTCCATCACTGCCAGTGGTAGCTGACATTAAAAAAGGTGTACTGCTATCTGCATTTGAAACAGACCTGCTGACACTGTTTTAAAGTATGCTGAGCTCAAACACTAGAGAAGTGGAGAGTCCATAAAAGTAATGTCTTCCTCAACCTTTTATTTTTATTCAGCTCTGATTTAATACAAAATACCATCTCAAACACATATGGCCATGCTGTTATCCATCTAGTAGACACATGAAAACAACCATCAGACAGCTCTGCATGGCTAAGAAGATAAAATCCTTTGGAATTCCAGAAGCTAATTTCTATTTAGTATGGACAATGAAATTTTGCTTTCTCCATCAAAAAGTTAACTATTTTTATAAGCAGTTGGTTTTATATTTTAAAATTTTATAATGATAAAACATAAATAGTAAACTTTTTTCTAAGGCAGTTGGTTTTATATTTGAAATTTTATAATTATAAAAGATAAATAGTAAACTGACTTGCTTGCTAAGTAAGTGTGGGGGTTTTGGACTACAGATAATCTATTTTTTTCCTGAAGCCACATGATACACTGGAAAAATTCTAATAAAAGTAATCTGGCCAATGTTGTTTTTTTACTTTCTATTATTTGACTATATAATAAATTGGATTATT